TCCCTTCACCTACCCGATGCCTGGCGCTTTCTCAACCCTACAATGAAAGACTTCACCTTCTACTCCCACCCACACTCCAGCTATTCCAGAATAGACTACCTACTTATCTCCCAAAGGGACCTACCCAATCTACTGGGCGTATCGATCGAACCCATGATCCTCTCGAACCATGCTCCAATATCTATGTCTCTTACACTACCCATGTTCTCCTCACAACCCAGGGTGTGGAGATTAGATCCCACTACAATAGGGGAATTGGCCCACGTTTCTAACATCCAGACTAAACTGAAAGAATTCTTCTTACTGAATAACGACACGTGCTCATCCCCGCTGATGTTATGGGAAGCTCACAAGAGCGTAATTAGGGGAGAGTTTATCCGCATTCAAGCTCTACTACACAAAAGGCGCAAGGACCGTTCTGCCTCTTTACTCGCTCGCATAGCCTCACTGGAAGCACTCCATAAACAATCATTAGCTCTACACCACCTATCTGACCTGATCCAGGCCCGTAATGATCTTCTTCAGCTCATACAAGAAAACACCAAGAAAGCCTTTATAAACCGAAGCAAAATATTTTATGAACATGGCAACAAATCAGGCAAGCTGCTAGCACGAGCCTTGAAACGCCAAAATGCCTCACGCACCATTGCCCAGATTATTGATCAGAACGGCACAAAGCACCTAGACACACCGAATATAGCCTCTCAATTTCGTTCTTATTATGAACAACTTTATGGCCTCGCCCCTCTGTATACCTCGCCATCAACCTCAAGGGCTAGGATGGAAAAGATTGAATCCTTCTTATTCCAACACAGACTTGGAAGCTCCCATCACCCCCGAAGAAGTGTCGACCGCCATTTCCCAATTGAAATCTGGCAAGAGCCCGGGCCCCAATGGTTTTACATCCCTCTACTACAAAACTTTTGCGGAAGATCTTATCCCTAATTTCTTAAAGGCATTTGACTGTCTTCCACGACAAACCCACGATTCTGTCCACCTCCTGGATGCACATATTGTTGTCATACCTAAGCCTGGGAAAGATGATTCATTCTGTGCAAATTACCGCCCCATTTCCCTCATTAACACGGATGTCAAACTGCATGCAAAAATTCTGGCCAATCGTCTAGCGACACTCCTCCCGCAGGTCATAGAAGGGGATCAGGTGGGCTTTGTCCTCGGTAGGGAAGCGAGGGACAACACCACCAAAGTGCTAGACCTACATCATTGGATGAGAAGTAGTGGCGGGGCGGGCTTTCTCCTGTCCACAGATGCGGAGAAGGCCTTCGACAGAGTAGCATGGGATTATCTCTTTGCCCTCTGCACCACCTGGGTATAGGTCCTCGCATGCTAGACCGTATAGCATTGCTGTACCACAATCCCACGGCTAGCATGCGGGTGAATGGGTCTCTGTCGGAGGCCTTCCCCATTCGCAACGGAACGAGACAGGGATGCCCGTTGTCGCCGCTGCTCTTCATATTGGCACTAGAGCCTTTCCTCCGCAGAATTCGCTCCGATCCCAGCATTCATGGCTTCCTCACACCCTGTAAGGAATTTAAGTGGCAGCATTCGCAGACGACCTGCTTTTCTTTTTGACACAACCGCGCATATCGCTCCCCAGCCTACTTTTGGCCTTCCGGGAATTTGCCTCACTCTCATTTTTCAAGATTAATTTCACAAAATCTGCCGCACTGAATGTATCTCTCCCGGACGAAACGGTCCAATTTTGTAAAACCACCTTTCCCTTTGGGTGGGCAGAATCAGCCATAACATACTTAGGGATACAACTACCTACTGACCTACACCATCTCTATTCCCTCAACTTTACTGCCCTCCTGACTCGTTTACGGCTAGACCTGTTGACATGGAGCAAATTGAGGTATTCATGGTTTGGCAGGGCAGCCGTTATCAAAATGACTGTCCTGCCCAGGCTCTTGTATCTGTTCCAGACGATTCCTATCGCTCTTCCTAAAACCTTCTTCACATCGGTCAATGCAATGATTAGAACTTTTCTATGGAACAACAAAACACCTCGGATCGGGTTCGGGACCCTAACCCGTTCCAAGACAACTGGAGGTATAGGTCTCCCTAATATATTGAATTACTACCGAGCATGCCACCTGACCCGCCTAGTGGATTGGTCCCGACATGGCCCATTTAAAGAATGGGTGCAAATAGAACAACTCCAATCGGACATCCCGATCGACTCCTGGCCCTGGATCAAAGACTCGCTCCTTTCTGCTCCGCTAACATCACACCCCATTATTGGCACTTCTCTACGTCTCTTCGCAGACGTCTGCACTCACACCGATCTTTCCTCCAACCCTAGCCCTCTTACTCCGGTCCGTATGAACCCTGCTTTTCCTCCGGGCTTACACCCCTTGTTCCTACACCGGTGGTCCCCTGAAAAGGTCCCTTCTGCGAATGGATTCTTCGACCGTCAGGGTATGTTCCGGTCCCTAGCGGATCTCAACTCGATGAACCAAGATCATCCACTCCCTTATGGACCTACCTGCAAATTCGGCATTACCTTAATACACGCAAAATCAGACCATACGCTGCCAGAATCCTTACTCCTTTCGAGAGGCTTTGCACCGCAACTGGTAGAACCACTCGTTTGATATCCGAAACCTAAGCATTGCTGTCCGCTTCTCCTTTGCCACCACCACCTTCGACTAAAGCTTGGGAGGAGGAACTGCAGATCAACCTATTCCCGCAAGACTGGGAAAATATGGATACCCGGTTGATGAGGGGATCCTCCAATGTCCAAATCCAGGAGACCAACTACAAGCTCCGCTCTAGATGGTACAAAACTCCGGTGGTACTCCATCGCATCTTCCCAGACGTACCCGACACCTGTTGGCGCTGCTTCCAAGAGAAAGGCACATTGCTTCACATTTGGTGGTCATGCCCCCTTATAAGCTCATTTTGGACGGAAATCCACAAACTTACCACAACCATTGCAGGCACTTCCCTGACATTTGATGCACCCTCGCTCTTACTCTTCCACGTTGGCGAATCTGACCATAGGTCAAAAAAATCGCTGTCTCTACATTTACTGAATGCAGCGATTCCTAGACACTGGAAGTCGTCAAGCCCCCCAACCATTAAAGAATGGCTAGCTCGGATTGATACAGTAGCACTCATGGAAGAACTGATTTCCAACGATAGAGGTACCATGCACACATTCTTGAAAACATGGACGGCTTGGCACCTGTTCAAGGCTACGGATAGCATGGGCAAACACCCTCCTTCAATATGCATGTTCCTCCCCCTTCCCAAGATGTTGATTCATTACAATGCACATGTACGATGTTATAATCCCTGTATTCAATTAGTTTATTCACGCATGTATAATGTTTGGACACTTGTCATCCTTGTGAATTTAATCAAAACAAAATTACCTGTGAAAAAAAAAAATGGTTCTTATGCCTAAATTGTCATATATACAGTACATATATTTTGCAAAATTCTCCTATTTAGTTCCCTAAATGTGTTTTTGCTAAACTCTAACCGTTATTGTGCACTATTTTAAGGAAAGTGACGTGGGCCAGAATTGCTCTTGCCAAACTACAGAGAGGTAAGGAGAGGGGAGGCACATGCAGTATATACTACTTTTACCCCACTATGTAATAACCCAGGCCTCTCAGAGCTATACTCTTTGGGAAATTTCATTTCCTAACTAAACTGTCTCAGTTATATGAAAATTCCAAAATAAAAATGTAAAACCTCACAAACCAGCTGCTAAAAACAGGAGAGGTTCAAATGGCCAGAGGCAAGGACTGTGCCACGGCTTAAGACCTGAAGGTACTCACAGAATGACATGGGCTCACACAGAATATTCTAGAACAAAGTCTAGAAAGTGCCAGATGCAGGGCCCAGTGCCTGAAGGTCACATTCTGGGCAGGCCTTGCAATCATCCACTCCAGCAGGTTTGGGTACAGCCTCCTTGGTACAACTAGTGTTTAGCAAAGTCTTTTTTGATGAAAAAGTAATCTTGAGAAAATAGGAAGAAAAGGCTAGTAAAAATTAAAATGTACTCAGTAGAGAAAAGACATCTATTCTCCTATGACACTAGGAAAACCAATTCATGTTGGGAGTGGGAGGAGTTATATCAGGCTGGTCCCTGTTTTTGTTTGACAGTGTTCAAATCCTCCTGTAGGCAACAGTATAACCGAAATGTCTTTAAATCCTGTGTCACTCAATGAACAAGAAAAAACATTGTAATTAAAGGCAGAATTAAGAATTAAATTAGGGCTGTGGAAATTAAAGATTCATTTCTCGATCGTTACACTTTTTGATCGGTTAAAATAAAAATTTTGATCGCTAATGAAAACACTCACCTCTCCGCCGGCTTACGGGAGTCCTCCCCCCTTCCCCAAGTGGCTTTGTCGGCTAACGAAGGGAAGGGGGGAGGAGTCCGGTGACGTCGATGTCCGTGACGGCTAACGAAGGGAAGGTAGGGGGGGCCCGGTGACGTTGATGTCCGTGACATCACCGGACTCCTCCCCCCTTCATTAGCCGACGGAGCCACTTGGGCCGGTGAGTTTGCCCAAGAAACTTTCTGCACGAGCGCCAGCCAAGGCATTGGCCTATACACATACAGCACAACAATGAAGTAATAAAATGAACTAGGATCACACTAATCCAGCACGTTAATATTCTGAGTTGCCCCACTCAAGCGGCGGCCATATTGAGTGGGGCACGTGAGATTAATAACGTGCTGGATTAGTGTGATCCTAGTTCATTCTATTACTTCATTGCTGTGCTGTATGTGTATAGGCCAATGTAGTTGGATCTGTATGTGCGTTATAATTAATCGAAATTAATTGATTAATCGATTTTACAAATTAAATTATAAAAAAAAACATCCAGCAACTGTGTCAAGTTGTGTTTTATTATTTATTTATACAGTATGATACAAAAAATATATGTTGCAAAAAAAAAGGATCTGAATACTTATTCTCTTGGCAGGTATACATCCTTCAATGGATGCAGAGTTCCTTCTACAGAGAATATTACTCTTCACAGGGATCTTGGGAATTTTACATACAGGTCAGTTATACCGGAACACGGTTATCCTTGCCCCATTTCTTCATTATTCGGATTATATATTCTACTTGAGTACTACCTGTACTTCTCAGCAGGTGAAGCACTTCTGTCAGTGTCTCTCTAGAACAAAATAACAATGAAGTACACAGTTACATAATAATGTTGAAATGCACCCATCCATTATATTTAACCTGTCAGAAGCTTAATGTTTAAAATGCAATTTCTATAGAATTTAGGTGCATGAAAAATAATAAAAAATATTACTCTGTACTATGAAAAGCAATTATATCTCAGCAGTCATTTTTTACTACAGATTAGAGAAATAAGTTGTGGCTTGCCCTAATTCTACCTTGTGGGCCAAACCCATTCATCTGTGACATAGCTTTTATAGGCATTAGTAAATATCAGCAGCCTGTGCTACACTGTAATTGTAAGTTTTCCGCCTTTGAATACACAAGTTCAAATGATATCTATAAAAAATAAGTCAAGGCAACTGGGCTTTCTGTATTTTTCTGTTGCCTTGACTTATTTTTTATAGATACACCATGACCTGGATGAATGAGAACCTTCACAGACACAAATTCAAATAGAACAAAAGTGGATAAGTTTTTTGGTAGAATATACTTTGTATATTTCTTCTGTCAAAAAAATACTTTACCTGTCTGCTAGCATTTTTATTTTTGTGTTCACTGGTTGCAGTGCATGCACAGTGCACGGAACAATACCAGCTTACTCCTGAAATTTCTAAGATGTCAAAAATGGAGCAGTGAGTTGGATGGATGTAACTCCACCATGCATGTGAAGTTACATCACCGGGGGCTGTGCACTGGCAAAACAAAGTAGATTATGGCAAAGGCTCTTGCAACATGGCCAGATTTAGTTCCACTTTAGGAGTTTCAGTTCTGTGTGTTCTTTGACTGGTAAACTATATGAATATCCTAATTAGTTTTGCAATAGTCATCTTGCCATGTGCCCTTACACTTAGCTCCCTTATCCAAACCTAAAATGTAAGACTTAGTTTGACCATATTACTTAACTCATCCTCCTAACATAAATCCTAACACTAAAACCTTTCCCTTAAAGTGTATGTAAACAGCAATAATAAGCTTCTCTAATTTGGTCCCTTTGGTCTGTTAAAAATGCCAATGAAAGCATTTTGTTATATCTGTTTAATAAGTGTAAAAAATACATGTTGATTCTGTAAGAAATCCAGAGCTGTACTGTGCACTCTGCAGTCTTATCTGTTGATCCTGCCAGCCGATAAATTCCTGTGCTGCATTCTTATCATTTACATTGTTCCCAGCTATCTCTAAGGGTTACGAAACCCCATCCCTCTATATTATAGAGAAGGGGAGAGATGTGTTTGGAGTCCTATCCTATAGTCACTGCCTCTCCATGGATAGAGTATGGAAAATGATCAATGTCAACCCAGGGAAAAAATAAATACTGTCAATACATACAAGTTCTGGTATGCTTTAACCTAAAACCAGTTACCTCACCTCAACCCAATCTTCCACCATAGCTTAAGCCAACACTAACTTAAAGTGATAATAAATTGCAGCTATATGAGACTTACTGTAGTCTACATGCGTTTCTTCATTCTGTGCAGCCATTTCTTTAAAATCTCCTTTCTTCTTAGTGCTGGTCAGGACTTCCATTCTGACGGTGGCTCCATTCTCTTGTTTTGCCTGATGGAGTCTCCCTCCCTGCATTCAGAGGTGGCAGATGCACGATGTCTGAGGGAATGTCTCCTCTTTTGATTGACAGCAGCTTTGTGTAAGTGTCTCAGAGTGCGAGTCATCTTCTCTCTCGCTCACCCTCTTTCGCTAGCTCATTTTTAATTTTTTTTAAAACAAACTTTATTTATAATGTGCATAGACTGTGGAGCAATCTCCAGGCTTTTTTTCATGTCATGTTGAATTCTGGTTGGCTGGTTGTTTTTACATAGCAAAATAGTACAGTCAACCATTACAAGCAGGATATGTAATCTAAACAGCTTTTCATGTGTTTATTTTTTTTATAAACTTTTCTTTGCAAGTGAACTATTTCACTTTCTTGATAATTTTTCACTTGTATTTTATCCATACGTGTGCCGATAGACATGTTATTTTTTGAATGGACTCTGTGGTTCACATTGACTCACAGGATGTTGTGATTGACGCAGATTTCATCGCTGGACATGGTGGTTGATGCAGATTCCATCGCTGCACATGGTAACTGACGTGGATTTCATCATTGGACGTCGTGATTGACGCGGATTTCATCGATCGACATCGTGATTGATGCGGATTTAATCACTGAGCACCATTCAGCACAATGCAGGGAATTGCGTTACTGCTCATTGCGGTGACGTTGAGCGCATTGCGGGAAGGAGGTGCACCTGGGGTTTCATTTAAATGAATAGCAGCCAGCGATGAAATCTGCGTTAATCACGACATCTAGCAATGAAATCCGCGTCAATCACGACATCCAGCGAGGCAATCTATGTGAACCACGGAATCCATAAAAAATAAAATAAACACGTCAATTGGCGCACATATGGATAGAATACAAGTGAATGATTAGCAAGAAAGTAAATCTGTTCACTTGCAGAGAAAAGTATAAAAACAAATGTCTATCAATAAATAAATAAACATCTAAAACACTGTTTAGATGATCTATCCTGCTTGTAATGCTTGACTGTGCTAATTTACTATGTAAAACAAGCCAACCAGAATGCAACATGACATGAAAAAAAGCCTGGAGATTGCTCCACAGTCTATGCACATTATAAAAAAAATGTATTAAAAAAAAAAATCAAATCAATCGAGGAGGCATTTCTCTAGACATCGTGCATCTGCCACCTCTGAATCCAGGGAGGGAGACTCGACCAGACACAGCAAGAAAATAAGTCAACCTCAGAACGCAATTCCCAGCCAGCACCAAGAAGAAAGACGATTTTAAAGAAACGACAGTACTGAATGAAGAAGCACACAGACTACAGTAAGTCTCATATAGCTGCATTTATTTTCTATAAAAAAAACGATAAGAGTTTATTATCACTTTAATTCCTAATATGGGCCAGGGACGTGCGGTCAGGGGAGGCAGAGTCTCACCTAGTATTATGGAGGAAAAAGCTGAAGCTGACATCTTTTTCTCCAATTAGACCGGCTTCTAACAGGTTACACAGCCTCCCCGCTGTGTAACCTGCCGTGGATGGAGCGTTGCCTGTTAGGTACAGGCAGTGCTGCATCCAGCTTTTGACAAGGTAAAAACAGAAAAAATGGCAAGCGCACTACCGTGGTGGTGACTGTTGGCGGTTTTAGGGTGAGCAAGCTTCTAAACCAGGGAGAGGAACCCTGTATATAGATATGAGAAAGACAAAAAAGGAGCGATACAACCCAGAGATTTATTATCCTTATCAGGGCCGTCTTTAATACTGATTGGACCATGGGCAAACATTTTTTTCGGCCCCCCACTCCTATACACCCCCTACCCGCCCCCACCATGGAATTTCGCCCATGCACTTTCTGCTCTGCGATCATCCAGCGATCTACTGTCAGTGCTGAGATGCAGGGCCAGTGGTAAGTGTTTGCAGCACAGGACCCACCCAAGGGGCAGCTGCTTTGGGCCCCACAACAATGACTGGGCCCTGGGCAGCTGCCCCTTTTGCCCTGCGTTAAAGACGGCCCTGATCCTTATTGTGTATATTCATGAATAAATTGCAGTATTATACGTGATGAAAGTATCTGCAAATATTAGGAATCAAAGACTCACTGTTAGATGGACGAATGGATGGTGCTGACAGCTTAGGTCACAAGAAGCTCCTGTGGCTGGAACATATGAGTGTTACCGTTGGCTGGAGGTGGCGTCATGCAGCCATGTGTATGAACAAGTTGTGCACAGGGGATGTTATTGCAGTCAGGCGCCATGGGCACTCAGCTGGCCAGGCTGGAACCCGTCGTCAGAACGGAAATACCTCTGCACAGAAGTGGATACCTGTCGGCAACCAATCAGTGTAAATGATTGTTGGAGATCTGGACTAGAGGACCGAGCAGTCAGTCTCCCTTGGTGGTGGGAATGTCGGTCTGGGAAGTCGGCTACGCATTTCGAGGCTATATGCCTCTTTTTCAAGCCCGAAAAGAAGTGTCAAGAACGGGCGGTAGATACAGGGGTTTAAAAAATGACAGATGGGCGGAGCTTGGGATCGTGTAAGGCTGCTATTGGCAAATGTTTTAGGAGGGGGGTTGTCATAACCTATAGTGGACGGCAGTGCTGCCGCTTGTTTTAATAAATCAATTGTGGACACCTATTTAAAACAAACATTTAATCATATAGGTTTAAAAGGAAATGAAAGTAAAAATAAAAATAAAGATGAAAATAGAATTAAAAACGAAAATTTGTTTCTGTGTGCTACAATGTTACTCTTGGTTGGGCGAGTGAGTCGTTTTATCTTATGTTGTAGCAGATGACTGAGTTTATGTTTCTATATTGTAGCTACAGTATTTTCAATTTGTTTGGAATATGATGAGAACTAGTAACATGATGAATGGTTAAATGAATAAAAACGAATTGTATGAAAATAGTATAAAAAGTTGTATGAACCTCGAATTAAAAATTATATAGATAATAAAAATAGAATAAAACATATTAAATGTAAAAAATAAAATTTTACATTTAATATACTCCTAAAACATTTGCCAATAGCAGCCTTACACGATCCCAAGCTCCGCCCATCTGTCATTTTTTAAACCACTGTATCTCCCACCTGTTCTTGACACTTCTTCTCGGGCTTGAAAAAGAGGCATATAGCCCCAAAACGCGTAGGATTATCGCGTAACTTTTATCACGTATAATACTGCAATTTATTCATGAATATACACAATAAGGATCATAAATCTCTGGGTTGTAGCGCTCCTTTTTTGTCTTTCTCACATCCAGCTTTTGACAGCTATGTTGGGTTACACAGCAGCGGGCTTCCCCACTGCTTGTGTAATCTGACATAGTGAGGCCAGAGCTGTAACAGCCTCTACTTTGTGTTAGAAGGCTTGAGCTCTGTGGATGGTTTGGACCAATGGCAAAGCACCATTGGTCCAAGCGGTCCAATAATAATAATAAAAAAAAACACTGAGGAGATCGATCTTGATGCCTCACCAGTGACGAGCAAGTGAGGGAAAGGGAGGCTAAACAAAAGTGCCTGAAAAAGAATACAAAATAAAATTGGGAAACTGTTTCATTTAGACACTTTATTAAATCTTTATAGGTCTGTTGCTAAAGTCCCTCCACCAGATGCTATTAACTGTAAAGATGGTGGCATAGAGTCCTAATGATAAATCGGATTACTTTCCTAGTTCCAGGTTCACCAGAGCCCACAATGGTGACATTTTGTTTTGTAACTTGGTTTCAAATGAAATTATATGCAGAGCCAAACTTTTTTTTCTTCTTAGTTTTGCATAGTGCAGGAGAAGTGTTAGAATAACTGTTGGGCTACATTAGTAGGATTTTCCCTTACGTCCTGTCCTACTGACAATGTTTAACCAGACAGGACAGCAACACAGACAGTAATAATGCTTTTTTTTTATAGAAGGAGAGGGCTAGAACCCCTGTCAGATTTTTATTTTTGTCTGTGTCTCTGCTGCAGATTTCCCTCACTTCCTGTCTTGGAGCAGAGCCGCATAAGCCGATGCCTCTTCTATAGCGCCGGCTCCTGTCACAGGTGGAGTGATACCAAAGGCACTCCGCCTGTGAGGAATCAATAGGTACGGCACCCCTGATTGCCCTGACCACCATATTTTTTTTACATGAATAAGTGTGGATTGTTGTACATTTTTAAAAAAAAGACCTACCCCGAAAATAAGACCTAGTGTGTTTTTTTGAGCCCAAAAAAATATAAGACAGTGTCTTATTTTCGGGGAAACACGGTATATATTAGGGATGCACCGATACTAGTATAGGTATCGATGCTGAATATTTTGGCGAGTACTCATACTCGCCCAAATGCTCCGATGCCTAGCCCGATACTTCCGGTATCAGGAAGCTGGGCAGCAAGTTATTACACGCTGCCCGGCTGCCTGATTGGCCGGCTCCATGCTCCCTCGTCACTAGGTTGAACTGGATGAACCCCGGTCTTTATTCAACCTTGCATACTATGTTACTATATATTGTATATCCTTCATTAGAGGACTACCTGCTAAGGATAAACCGTTATAAAATCACAGATTCTGGCCCGGTATGATATACTTACTTTGGTTCCCGGCCTGCTAAGATCATCTGAAAGATCCCAACACATGCCCCACGCTTTCCTTCCCAGTATTCAGGACTGGGATCTAGTCTTTCCAATACATCAAAAGCCTTTGCTGCATGATAGAATTGACCCATCTGTAAAAATAAATTAATAAATAAATTACCGGGCATAATATTTGCATACATAAATTAAACTTTGTTATAGGAATAAATAAGTTACTGAGCATTGTTATACTTAGTATCGTACAATGAATGATTTACAGCTTGAACTTTAGGATCATATTGCGTATCTGTTAGAGCAGTGGTTCTCAACCTGTGTAACCTCAGGACCCACATGTGTCCTTGGTCATTTAGTCATAACCCAAGTCATGGCAATTCAACACATCTCCAGCACCAGAATGCGCGGTAGATGCAATTACGTGGTAAGGTGAGTTAATCGCGCGTGATTGTGGGAAAAACACACTGTACTAGTGTGAACGGGCCCTCAAATACAATGACAGACATATACAACCACAGACACAATCTCACACACATACACACTCCCAAAATTGTTTAATTTTTGTTCTTTTTTTAAGATCCATCCAGTCGAGTGGGTCCTCAGCCTGGGGTCCAGTGTGGGCTGTTGTGCTGTGACGGAGCTCCATCCCATCCCACCCCACCTCAAGCTGACACTCGGAACCAGGCAGCATATTTTGAATGCCTGCTTGGTGTGAGAACTGACAGTGCTGTGCTAGGGGGAGGCTGAGGAGCCTCTCACCTAGAAAAGTGGAAGGCATGCAGTGACCCACTGCTCACAGGGTCGCGACCCACCAGTTGAGAACTAAGGTATTAGAGTATGTATGTGCAGCTTTGTGTATACTAAAAACAAACATATTTGGGTTTTTACTATAAAATGGAGAGAAGCAAGGGGTGGTGCCATGGAGGTGCTTCCTGGTGCACCAGAAAATTTCCTCCAGACCTGAAGCACCTTGTAGGGCCCATTCCCAACCTGCACATTTTCACTATGTGGAAGTCAATGGGTAGTGTTGGGGTTAGAACCTCTGCATAGTGATATTGACATTGTTGGACCCCCAGATGCAAAACAGCACTGAGCTCGGGGTAGCTCTCCCAGGCTCCTTCTTGGCTCTGATGTGTCACATGACACAAAGTCAAGGGGAAGTCTGGAAGGACTTCAACTTACTCTAGACATGTGCCACTCTGCTTCAGGGGTGGGTCTGGTGTTGCTTTTGCATGCAGGAAGGGGGGGAGGGAATTTGCTTGGTGGGGGTTAGGATGAAGGAAATGAGAACTTATGCTTGCAGTTAAAAGGGAGGTGGAAGTTTTGAAGTTATTGATTTTGAGGGAAAGGAGGTAGGAGTTTTTGCTTTGTAGGGGGTGGGGCAGGAGATTTTTGCATGAAGGGATTTTATGCTGGGAGGTGGGGTTTTTTTTTTTTGCTTTTGGGGGTATATATGGGCTGAGGGTGTTCTCTTGGACTTTGTGCCATACATTACATGCAACTGAACTTTGCACTCTGTGCTGTATGTTAAGCACTACTGGGTACTGCGCTCTGTAAGCTGGTAGTGCTGCAGCAGCCAGGAATATGCAAAGTACAGAGCACAGCATACAAAGTACAGTGGTCAGAATTATGCAACGTTCAATATAACATACAGAGTGCAGTGCTCAAAAGTATGAACCATATTGTGTAAAGCAGGGCTCAAAATTTCCACTCGCCTGCTCGCATTTGGCGAGTGCAAATACAGTGCAAGCGAGTGGAAATTCCGTCCGTCTTGCCGTCACAGACGATGAACCTGACACTTGGGAGCAGCTGCTCCTGGCTGGGATGTCTGTTCCTTTCAGCCGCAGCTCTTCACTGAGCTCTGGCCGAAAAATAATGGATTAGTTAGGTCTGCAGCAGACCTTACTGATCACCAATAGATCACCAGGGATCGTGCCTGCTCGCCTCCTCCCTGCAGAAAGACAAGCAGGTGAGGGGGCCTCATTGTTTTATATTATGTGTAGGCAGGCAGGGAATTTTTATTTTATGTGTGTGGGAGGAGGGGGGAGGGAACAAGGGGC